TACATTCCATGTTCCGATGATTAATGGATGTCTGCAGCTGTTTCTCTTCAATTTGAGTGGTGCCACATCAGCAAATGGAGGTCTCAAAAGCTCTCCCTTATCCATAGGACTAAGGCTGGGTTTACTCAGATGCAGCAGCTCTTTCCCAGTCCTATTTTGAGTCTTCTAACCTAACCAGACTATTCATAAAGTTGTATGGTAATGTATCAAACAGTTTGCTGTTCATAAGGTTTTCCCTGGCCAATTATTTGAGAAATGGACGGCCTCTTCCTTCTTCCTGTCTCTCAGTCTGTAAGCTGGGCTGATACCTGTGCACCATGTACATCCCACTGGGTTTGAAACATCAGTGGGTCAGCCTCAAAGCTCACATCAACATGTCAGTACAGTAGGACATACTGACAGACAAGTTTGTCTCCCTGTTGGAAACCTCTCTTACCACCCTTACCTGGGTCCCTATGGCTGACTCCTCCTCTGTAAGGATTCCTGGGCCTTTTAATCCCCTTTCTCCCGCTCTACCGTCCTGCTACTTTGGGCGTGCCTGGGTTCTCTCTCCTCATCTGGATCCCTGCAGCTTAAGGGTCTACAAGGGCTCAAATGTACCTATAATGTTTCTTTTCTTTCTTAAAAGATGGGTGGTAGGTATACACAGTCCTTTTACCTGGAATGTTTGAAGAACTTCTCAATAAATAAATCCATTTTTAAAACAAGTGGTAGAAACATGGTGGTAAAGACACTGTAGTCTACTAAACTGGCCCACATGGTTTTTTTCTTTAGAAACCAGGGTTATTTAGTGTATAAATCTGTGCCAACAATTTCACTTTCTGAGTAAATGCTCACTAGCAACTGTGTGTTTGAAGCATTAGGTCTGTTTGTATAGATGAGGTCAGAGATGTTACATGATTTAATGTCATTGTTAAGTCACAAACAATCTCTATTCACTTGGAACAGGGGAAGGAGTCAGGATTAGGAAGATATGGAAATGTGCAGTGAAATGCCTCCATGAACTGCCTCCTTTGCCAGCAGACCAAAAGAACTGGATGGTACTCAGTTATCATTATGTGAACTTTTTAATCAAAGATTCCACAGAAGAATCTTCATCAAAAGAGTAAAATGTAGAATAGAATTTCAAATTCTCATGGACTCTAGATTTTCTGGAACTACAGAGGATGGATGAACCCATGAGACTACTGCCCTGAGGTAACCTTTAAACCTTAAACCAAAAATATCCCTGACATGGTTTTCAAGCCAAATGGTAGTTTAGCTTGCTTAGTGAAAAACGGTTTGCCTGGAGCATCATGTGCTTTCAAGAACTACCTATATAGGACCAAACTGACAACAGCAAGCAATTCAAAAGATTAGCTAAGAACTTTAGGGGGCAGTGAGTTTATGTTAATGAGGAAGGAACAACTCAGAAAAGGTGAGAATGGTTGCATTATTTGAAGAATATAATCAATGTCACTAAATTGTACAAACAGAAACTGTCAAATTAGTGTATGTTTTGCTGAGTATATTTTCAACAAAATAAAGTGAAAAAAAGTCATTGTTAATAGTCTAGTTAAGTACTTGACCATAACCCGCTTTATCATTTGGGATTAACCAGGAAGGAGTCATTCTTCAGAAAGTTTGTTTGAACTATACATTCCCTAATTAATCATACTGGCGAGAGAGGACAATTAGCAGTGTATTTCAAATGAGGTAAAGAAAAAAAAAAGGTTGAATAAGGAATGGCAGAATAAAAGGGGAAATGATTTAACAATCTCCTTACTTGAGGTAGGAAGGAAACTTCAGCACTGATGAAGGATGAGCACTAACAATATGGGCATACCTCAGAGATACTGTGGGTTTGGTTCCAGACCACTGTGATAAAGCAATAAACAACTGTTACAATAGCCATATGAATGTTTTGGTTTCCCAGTGCATATAAAAATTATGAATACACTGTAGTCTATTATTAAGTGTGCAATAACATTATGAAAAAGTTTGAAGTATTTTGAGAATTACTAAGATGTGAGACAGAGACACAAAGTGAGCACATGCTGTTAGAAAAAGGGTACCAATAGAGTTGCTTTACACAGGGTTGCTATAAACCTTCAATTTGTAAAAATCATGGTTATCTGTGAAGTACAATAAAACAAATCTTAGAAAACATATGCCTGAACTCTGAAAAATTACTAAGAACTGGTAAAGTCTGTTAGCTCTGTTTAGAATCAGAAGAGTGAAGAAATTAGCAATCAGCATGCTCTATCTCTAAACTTCTTCCTAAAATAACTGGTTTCACTCAGATTTGACAGGCAGAGGCTTTAGTCTTCAGACTATTCATCAAATGACTTAAAAGGCCCTACTTTTGGGTGGCTGTCCTTAAGGAAGTCTTTGGTCCTCAGCTTTCACTTACATCTACTAAAATAATTCCTACTCTGCTCCTTTATATGGATTGAGAAGATGAATTCAATAATAAAATAAATCTAAAATTAGCTCAGTTCCAAAAGCCTTTCACAACATAATCCTATTTTACTCATCTTTTAGGTCCTCTGCTTCTTGAAAACTATTCTCTTGACTACTCAAAACTCAGTACTTTACTCTTCTTGTAGGCTACAAAACAAAGCCACCATGTGTTTAGGACAGGAATCTTATCTCACTTTACATTCTTTACTATGCTTGTCAGATAGTCATCATTCAACAAGTTTTTCCTGACTTGGCTGATTTCTCAATAGCTTTACATTCTGCACTATGTCTGTACAGTGCACAGCCAAGAGCAGAGCATCTGTACCGTACATAGAACCAAAATCCTCCCCTTCATGAAGATTTTCAATCTTCTACTAAGTGTGGTCTTGGTACATCCACTATCTATCAGAACTGTACCACACCTCATATGTCAAGATGTAACAAATGTGAAGTGCTTCTCAAAGGTTGGATGAGCCCCAATATGTATTCAGAAAGAATGCAGTTCTGAGGAGGGGTTGACTATTAGATAAAAAAAACCCATTTGCTATCGGTTAACATCTGAGGCAAAAACTGGAAATGAGTAACGTTACAGTCAAGTTTTAGAAGACAAAGGCCTAACAGATTGCTTAGAACAATAATTTGTTACAAGGGACAAAAACGGTTGAGGTTTTAAGGGTAATACATCTGTGTTCTCATCTCTAGAGCCTTCATATTCTTTGTGGCAAAGAGACCAAGCACCTACTGGGGTTCATCCAACAAGAAGCCATAACTTTATTAATGATAGAAACAGTACAAATTTCAAACCAAACTGCAGTTAGTTACTCTTTTGAAACACCAAAAAAAGGTCCTTGTTTTCGGATGGTTACATTGTTAATTCCTGTAAGAGAAAAAAAGAGATAATCAGAGCAAGAAGCAAACTGGGAGATTTCATGTCACTAAAATCCAAGGCTACTCTGAACAGGTTTTGGAACAAGACTTCAGAAATGGGTGGTATTAAGCAGTGAAAATAAAGAAGGCTAGTATCCTTTTATATCAAAGACACTATTCATGGTCAAGATACTACCATGAGGGCTATTTAGTGTTCACTTCAACACTGTTATCAGATTCTTAAAAGCTAATCAGAATCAGTCAAGACAGAGGGAATCAAGAAATAAAGGCCTGTATGCTTACCATAATAGCATTTACAATATCATTACTGTTGTTCTTCAGGGCTCGGACTGCCTTTGCTCTTGAAACATTTGCTTGTGACATGACCAATTCTATGTCCTTAACTTCCACGCCTGTTTCATCAACCTAAGAAAGGAGAAGAAAAAACCTCAATAAACTAAGAGGCAAGAATGACCTCAGTAGTTCTTTGGGGTGAGGACTTCATAAATCTAGTTCTGTAACTCAAAACCAGTTAAATCAATGGGTTTGAGAGCCTAAAACAATATATGAATCTTCCCATGAACAAAAATATATTGCTATACAGAGAGGATTAAAGTACAATAACATTTTGTGGTATACCTCTTCCTCTTCACTCTCCTCCTGTACAGTTGGAGTTTGTGTGTTTTCTTGAATGTTTGACACTGCTTCGCCTTGAACTTTAAATTTCTCAGCAGCTGCGAGCTGTGCTTGCTGAGATAAATCCTCAATCTATGGGACACAGAATACAGATTTCACGTGAGATTAGGCTACAGTAAATATTTTTTTCTATACTTTCACTTTCAACCCACCTCAAGGAACCTACTATATAGTTGTGACTGCTTGTTGTCATTCATTGTATACCACTGTATAAAAAGTGATTTTTGTCCCTCAGGGGACATTTGGCAATCTTTAGAGATACAACAACTGGGAAGTGTGATTTGCTAAACACCCTATAACATCCATAACCCCCCACAACAAAAACTATTGGCCCAAAATGTCAATAGTGCTAAGGCTGAGAAACCACGGTTTAGAACAACTTCCAAGACAACTCTACTTACCTTGGCTTCCCCAAAAACTATGTAGGTATCTGAAGCTGGGCTCTTGTAGACATCTGGCTTTGTGATGACAAACAGGATATTCTTAGATTTCCGAATAGTGACTCTAGTAACTCCTGTGACTTGTCGAAGACCCAGTTTGGACATAGCCTAATAAGAAAGGAGTACCAGGTTTTCAACTTCTAATCAGGAGTCTCTGGTAGCATAGTGCCTAAGGCATTTGACTGCCTACCAGAAGGCTGGCGGTTCAAACCCACCAGCTACTCCTTGAAAGGAAGGTTGAGCAATCTACTTCTGTAGTGACACCACCTTGGAAACCCAAGGAGGGATTGCTATGAGTTGGGTTCGGCTCGGCGGCAGTGAGTAGTACTTTAATCATGATTCTACCAGTACCAAGAGTTCCACTGAAGGTGTTCCACTCTCTAAAAATTCCTTCATCAAAACTTAAAATCCTTTTTTAGGCACAAAAATCTTACCTTCCGTGCCTTCTTTTCACTCCGACTCTGTTTTGCTTTACTAACTGGTTCTTCATCGATTTCAGCTGCTGCCGCCAGCTGAGGAGATAAAACAGCTATGAGTATAAGTGGAACCTAACAGCTGGATACTACCACCTTCATGTGCTTTTCTTTATTAAAGTTCACAGTTCCAACACAGGCAGTCCCGTAGGTTACAAATGTCTAACTTATGACAACTTGTACGTGTGTCCTTTAATGTTACATAAATTTACTCTCACTCGGAAATAGCTGAACCAACCCCTACTCACAATTAAAAAAAACCAAATTTTTAAAATTGTGATTTGGGTCAAAGTTCACAGAGCAAATTCACTTTCCACACAGCAGCTCATACACAGTCTCATGACATTAACTATAATTTCCCACAATGCAAGAGCCCCCCTCCCACTTGCACCCCATAGTTACCTCTTCCTTGTGTCCTTCCCTCACATGCCCTTCTGACTCTCAAGTTATTTCCTTTCTGTGCATACACAGCTTTTCTAGTTTCCCATGATCGATCTCTCCAAGGAGTGTATCTACCTAATGTAAATCTTCAGCTCATATACCTGTCTTTTGTTTGGCTGGAAGCCACAAGAGTGGGTTCAATTCCAGACCTGAAGAGCAGCTAGGGGCCGTAGTATCAGGGGTTCCATCAGGCTCTATCAGATTAGCAAACCTGGTCCCTTTTTTTTCTTAAAAAATGATTTTGAGTTTTGTTCCACATTGTTCTCCCACTCTATCCAGGATCTCCTATATAGATTCCCCTCCGAGTGGTTGACGGTGGTAGCCAGGCATCATCTAGTTCTTCTGGTCTCTTAGTCATATAGGTTGAGGATCGCATGGTGTACCAGTTGCTTCACAAAAAATTCTTTATCATAGCCACCTTCACCTGCTGCACATGCAGCTTTTAAATCTGAAAATACATCAAGCTTCCTCTTGCACCAAAGTAATACTAAGCAAGAACTGTATGCACCTATTTTGACTGACCATCAAATATGAATTAAAAACAAACTTAAAGAACAGATTTTGTTCATAAACCTGGGTATTGCTTGTACACAAGTTGGCTTCTCTGATCAATCCTGGTTCTCCAATGTTTCCTTGACCACAGCGCTTACACCAATCAGTAAAAGAACATTCACCTGGGCTTGTTGTGTAGTTGCCTGTGTGGAATCCTGCTCCTCAAGCTCTGGTACTGATTCATCACTGTCAGATTCTGTTCCAGACCCTAAGAAGAAAAGTAACTTTTACCAATTAATAGTAGAAACTGCAGAGATGAAGAACCTCACCACAGCCTACCTGGACTAGAGGTCACTGGCTTACTTTAGACCTCACAAATTTAATGTAAACAAACTCACTTGTATGAAGCCAGCTTAGTACTCACCAACTTAGTCAGAAACTAGTGTGTACACAGCCATTAAAGACCCAGCCCCAAAAACAAGGGGTAATCACTAGATATAGTTGAGCGGTTTATATACCATGATTGCTTCTTTGCCTTCAGAGTCTTCACTTGGCACAAGAAAACAGTAATGATCCATGTAATTCCAAATTTTATGCAATACCCCAACCACCCCAAGAAAGTTCTGCCAAATAAGGTGTCTCCAAGATACACTTGTGAAAACAATATAGCATACTGTGGAGGCAGGTCAGAAGCAGTTGTGTACACACAGCCAGCTTTATTTCCAAACCATTCACTCTAGCAATTTGATCTAATAATATAGCTTGAAGATTTTCAATGCCACCAATCTATAACTCTAATAGTCACTTTTCCACTATAACCTCTCCTATAACCTCCCCCATTTCTCCCAAACATAATTCAGATATTTGAAGTTTCCCACAATTGAAAGACCAAGCATCAACAAAGACTATTGAGGAAAACAAAAGCATACACCTGCACCATTCTCAGGGTAGGAAAACCAGGTCTCTACATTTTTAAAAGGGGGTCCCTGGGCAACTGGTCATTACTAAGTCTAGAAGTAAAAAGAAATTCAAGTAGATTCAGATTCCTCAATATTTTAAAAGCAAATCCCAGGCCCAGGGACAAGGTTAGTGCTGTGATAGAGATTAGAGCAAATTAAAGGTCTGGTAGGTCTTGGTTTTCAATGTCAGATCATTTAGTTGAAAAAGATGGTAAACTTAGAGTTTTGGCTGGTGACCACTGAGTCACAATGATGACACACAAGATAAGATACAATCGAACTATCTGAAGTTATGAAAACCAAGATTTTGTTTCATATTCCTAAAGCTTTTGCATTTAAAACGATCATTCTACATTCTATGTAGATACACTGGAAAAAGTGGCGCACCCTAGGGTTAGTATTGGTGGGTAGCCCCCGAGAGGGGTGTGGACGACACACCATGCACACAGCAAACCAAGGCAAATACCCTTGTTGTTCTTCAGAATGGGCTGCTTGGCAGAGGGGGTTGGGGCAGGGATTCCAGCAGATTTGGGGGTGGGCATGTTGACGAGAACTGGCTGGAAAGGCACTCCCCCAGAGATTGGTTCTGGGGGAATCAGAGGCGGCAGCTCATCCTCATCAGCAGGGGCTGGGGGCTTATGGGGTGATTCCAGCACCAGCCCAGGTGAGGACGGCAGAAATGGCTGTTTAGGAAGCAGAGGGGGAACTGGGGAGGGAGCAAAAGGCAGAGAGACTAATGGGGTGGATGTTGGAGAGACAGATGCTAACCCAGTTTTAGGAAGGACCTTCTCAGAAACAGCTGCTGCTAGAGGGGTAGATGTCTCAGACTCAGGAGGAGCAGCCAAGGGTACCAAAGGGGCATGAACAGAATCTTTGCTTTTTGTGGGAGAAACAGGGTGGGTTTTGGGAGTCTTTGGAGAAGAGCATTTCTGAGTGGAGACTGTCAGCAGAGGGGCTGAAGCCACTGTAGGAAGTGGTCCTTTAGTATCATGCTTAGCTGAGGGATCTGAGTACACTGAAGGCGAGGGAGCAGAACCCTTCTTGGCTGATGGACCTTTCTGAGTGGGTGCAGTGATAACTGATGCTCTTTCTGGAGATGGGGCAACAAGTACTTCTTTGAAAGCTGCACAGCCTTTCTTTATTTGGAGTCCTTTAGATTCCTGAGGGGCAATGGCCTCCAAAGGACAGGTGACTAAAGCTGGGGAAGCAGAGGAACTTCTAGGGGTTGGGGTTTCTGAGGTCTCTTTGGAAGAAGGAGGACTCACAGATGGGGGAGTAGGAACCCCTCTGGGAGATGGTGTTGTTTGGGCGCCTTTGGAGGATGGTGCTGCTGGGGCCCCTTTGGAAGAGGTCATTACAGATATGGGAGTGGGACCCCCCTTTGGGGATGGTGTTGTTGGGGCATCTTTTGAAGAGCGATAAGTCACAGGTGGGGAAGTAGGAGTCCCTTTGGGGGATGGTACCACGTGGGGCCCTTTGGAAGGAGTCATTACAGGTGGGGGAGTGGGGTCCCCCTTTGGGGATGGTGTTGTTGGAGCATCTTTTGAAGAGATAGGAGTCACAGGTGTGGGAGCAGGGGCCCCTTTGGAAGGAGTCGTTACAGGTAGGGGAGTGGGACCCCCCTTGGGAGACGGTGTTGCTGGGGCCCCTTTTGAAGAGGGATGAGTCACAGGTGGGGGAACAGGGTCCCCTTTGGAAGCAGTTGTTATAGGTGGGGGAGCAGGGTCCCCTTTGGAAGCAGTTGTTACAGGTGGGGGAGCAGGGTCCCCTTTGGAAGCAGTTGTTACAGGTGGGGGAGCAGGGGCCCCCCTGGAAGGAGTTGTTATAGGTGGGGGAGCAGGGGCCCCCCTGGAAGGAGTTGTTATAGGTGGGGGAGCAGGGGCCCCTTTGGAAGGAGTTGTTATAGGTGGGGGTGCAGGGGCTCCTTTGGAAGGAGGAGTGGTC